TGGATATATTACAAACTGTACGAAAAAAAAAATAAGGGCCCAGATAATTTATTACAAAATCAAATACTGCAAAATTAGCCTACCAGTCCCAGTCACCCCTACTATGTGAACACATGAATCGTCGAACAAACTCACGAAACATAATCCAGTAAATCCTCGATGAGTGTTCGAGGTTCCTCGGCATAGTCAAGGACAGGTCCCCAAATGTAACACTGACTTCCTAATGAGGATAATCATAGCGATAGAGCTTGGAATTCTGAAGCCAGTAATATTTGTTTCAGTCGCATATGATCATTAGTTTACGAAATATTTAATGTTTAGTGCCTAGGAGTCTTCGGACAATGATCGAGGATTTACTGAACATAGATACGACGCCGAGTTTACTCTATTCGACAAACAAGAACGTAGAAAGTGCTGTGTATCGTTTACCAGCGACAATCGCTTTATACGACACATTCTAACCGCCTCGAGTGTTAAACGGGGATGCTTTTAAGGTAGAAAGTACATCGTTCCTATTCTTTTTTGCTGCACCTGTATGAGTAATGGGCCAACTAAAGCCAGCAACGTGGATGCGATTCACTTCACGGGTGATAAAACGAAACGGAAAATTTCTCTTACTTTCACCCCTCGATCTTTGTATTGTTCCAGAATAACGCGAAAGGTTCAGCCCCGATCGAACGAACGATCAGGTTTAACGATTAGAACGGAATCGGCGCAACAACGGTGTCCTTGTGAAACTGGACCACCACCGTTCCCCCATTTTCTTCTCTACGTTACAGACAAATTCGCTACGATCGGTGTTTTGCTTACCACGCGACGATAAATTATTATCCCTTTCAATTCACAGAACAGCGACGACAAGCCCCGTTTTCATGAACGAAAATCCAACGATACACAGGGTGAGGCAAAAAAAAATGACCACTAAAGCAGGCGCACCTGCATATATCTCGGTTGTTATTGGTGATAGAAAAAGATATAAAATTTTTGTTTTAATATCACGTTATTGTCAATAGAAGCACGATTTTAATGATATATAGCATGATGGTATTTAAAAAAAAGATGCATTGACCTTGAAGAAACTCAAGGTCACCTTGATATCTTAAAACGTTTTTTGATACAACTAATAGGTAATAAGTTACTTTAGATAGTACAGCTAGCCTCTGTTTAGCTTCTGTTTACTCTATTTTGATTGGTTCCACAGTCAATCTCTTTATTTATTTCTTTTTTTTCACTTCTGACGATCCTTTGTAGCAGTTCGCTCGAGAGTCGAGATTCAACGGGGTCCCAGAAAACGGGTTGATTACCGTCACGTGGGGCTAAACTGATCGCGTAGACAATGGATTTTCATCCGAGTGACAACATCGTCTTCGTGTCAGGACCGTGGCGCAGGTGAAAGCGTTTTATAGCCGTGAAGCGAAATGCATTCCCCTATACGACCGCCGTTTCTGTGTAATTATCTTAATAATCCACCGTCGTATCATGGGTGTTTCCAATGTCCTGAGAACACACCTTTCCCCGGCCACACCGACTAGATACGGCTTCACTGTATTACCTTTGACGTTCGACAGCGTCCACTCACGCGCGTGCGCAAACTTCTCCGCTACGTGGAAAGTATTTGTAAAATAGCACTTGTTATAACTTTGCTCAGTTCTTTATTTGACCAATCGAAGAATTTCGTCGTACTTGGTTGGTGGTACTTGTAGACTTTAAGGGAGAAACCACCCTTTTTATCCGAAACCGTCCCTTCAACTTATTCGCTTGTAAATCGTGAACTACAAAAGATATCGAAAAAACGTTCATATAAATTTTATATCGTTCCTCGTTTCCCATATATCAAAAGGAAACTAATTTTTTTGATAATGTTTTTCTATCAATATATGGAGAACTGAAAACAATACAAAATTGATCTAAACGTTCCTTTTAGATCTTTTGTAGCTTATGAGTGACAAGCGAATAAGTAAAAGGGACATTTCGAACAGACCGGATAGGTACATTGCAATGTGCACTGGGTCTGAAGAGGTTAGCTAAACCACGGGCACCGTCCCGTGGGAAACTTCGCCGAGGCAAGAAGTCGAACACACCGTGAGCTACGATAAAGGTCAGCCCGCGTAATAACGCTGAACTTCCAACGTCCGCGTGTGGAATCGATCCACCACAGTACGCTGGCGCCTTTTTTTGTCAGTGTATCGCGGGTGGCCGCACGTGGCGTTTAGCTGAAGCCCGTACTGCCGATTTTTCTGCAACTTCGCTCAATTATTTATGGGACCAATCTAAGAATTTTCCCGTACATGGTTGGTGCTACTATCACAGTTTAAGGAAGAAACCACCCTTTTGTATCTGAAACGTTTCCTTCACTTATTCGCTTGTAACACGTGACCTACAAAAGATATCGAGAAAACCTTTAGACAAATTTTATATCGTTTTGAATTGCCCATAGATTGGTAGGAGAAAATTTTCAAAAAAAATTATTTTCAAAGACAAATTTTTTAAAAAAATTATGTTATTGATAGTTTCTTGCTATCGATATGTGAACAACTGAAAAGGATATAAAATTTGTCTAAACGTTTTTTTGGTATCTTTTACAGTTCACGAGTTACAAGCGAATAAGTACAACAGACACATCAGACAATAATCGTGTAGGTACGATAATTTTAACGTTCGTTCTGAACGTGTTTTATTTTCATTGGGACCTTTAGTACATATTATAGTGTAAATTTTATTCTACTCGTCTGCTGAATAGGAAAATATTTTCTTGCCTCCCTGTTGTCCCAAATAAAAGTATTCCACAGAGAAAATTGTTTCCTCTAAAGAAGAAAAGTCCGGTCTGAAGAGGACAATCTTGACCGTTTCCGCTTGCTGATCCTACGATTTCATTTCAATTTCTACGGGGGCCCAATAGCTACGAACGATGATAAACGCGCGATACATGGAACGCCGAGGGACAGTGAAAGCTGTCCAGAAAGCCGCCCGCTGGTACAGCTAGAGAGAACGGCGGATATACCTATATATGTATCTTTAAATATACGTACAAATATTCAGTAGCTGGCCTTCTATGTAAAACAGACGCAAAGATACATAACATTTGGAAGTGGATTGAACCGAGAGTTCGTAGACATCTGTGACCTACTTTGCTCTTGAATACAGCGATGCTCGAAGGAAAGTTTAAAATAAATTTTGTTCTTATTAAATTCATACTTGTTATTAGTAGACTGTGGATGTGTATGCAAATATAAATTTGTAAATTCCTCTCATACTTTTGATCAATTTAAGCAATTTAATTTGAATGATTAATATTTTAAACTACTGCAAAATACTTAAATGGAAAAAAACAAACAAAAAATTTTGTCCTCATCGTCTCCCGGAAGATACCAGCAAACACATTGAAGACTATGTTTGCATACTCTAATATTAATTTTCAGTTTTACAAACTCTGTAAAAAAACTTTAATCACCCAATTTTTTATAAAAACAAATTTCTTCTGTAGCTTAATAAGAAATGATTAACCTATGACTATCAACTACAGTTCCATAAGGCTCGTATTAAAAAGAAATTTTTGTGGCGTTTCCTTTTCAATAATTTAATCGTTGACTTTTCAATTTTTTGGCAATAGAAAGTTGAAGCTTTTCAGAATGCTCTGTTAAACTTTCAACTAAATTTATAATTACTAAAAATTTCGTGAAAGCCACCTTAAAGGGTTAAGAGATTCCATAAACGTATAAACGCAAACGGTCTGATTATTATACCATAAATACTATGGAAATGATTGTCCCACCGATAAGATCTGTTACTCACCGTGCAATTTCGAAATCCTTATCCGACGACACGCAATACTCAATCGTAACACGTACGAAGCGTTATGTTCGGTGTAATGGGGTTTAATACCAGACACGCGTACAGAACGTTAAATGCCATCCAACGACAGAAAAGATTTTTCATTTCGAATTCTCTTCACGTCCACCAAGGATCCTACCAGACAACTGTTTCGTAACAATGAGAAATCGTTTTGTTCGGTACACTTCGATGGTTCCGTCTTTGAGATGGAAATGAGGAAGAATCATCGGTTCTGGTGCAAACTTATTAAAATTAGCTTTCCAAACCCCTTTCAAAAAGTAATTCTAATTGGCTGATATTTGTCCTTGATATGGTTTGGAAGGTCATTACAAGTGAAATAACGTTTTCTTCTGTACGCGAAAAAAATGTTTTTCACATATTTTAGAATTTTTGTTAACAGTAATTAATAAATATTTGGCACATGATAATTAAATTTTTTTATGTTTTTTATATTTGAAAAATTGAGAAAATGTAATTAATTAAATTAAAATGAAAAAATACATATTTTACCAGCGAATGAGCGATATTAATTGAAAAAAATCTATGTTTAATCATTTGCTTATTTTAATAACTTAATTTACTCGTTTTTATATATAATGTTCATTCACCGGTAGATGTTCCCAACTGTTTCGCGGAAAAAAATAGCTGATTAGAATTATTTTTCATTCAAGGTCTAATTCGACTGAGCTAGGACACTATAAAAGTCTCTTGGACTTTTCCACGGATAGTGCCGTGAAAATTCTGGTTACTTTCTATCACGTGCCGGGTCGTTATTGCACGCGATAAACCGTTTGCGTGCCGTGCACACCTCGATATAATTGTATAAGACGGTTTTTAAAAAGTGGAAGAAAGTTCTGGTATTTCGAAACTATCTCGTGTGTTACACGCCGTGGGGAAATGTCTCGAAAGTGGATCAATATCTCACCGTGTTGGATAGAAGAGCATTTGACAGTGTCGATGGATAATGTGTGGAAACCGAGGGATACGTGAAGTACCTGACATGTCAGTGTCTGTTAGGTACCTGATCTGGTTTACCTGTTGAAGATACCCGATGTGCTCAGTATGTTCGAAATACTTGAAGTACTCGATTTATTCATTAATTCGAGGTACCTGAAGTACCCGATTTGTTCGGTATATTCGAAGTACCTAAAGTACCCAATGTGGTCTACCTTGTGGAGTGTGCCAAATGTGTTCAAGGTACCTGAACCATCCAATGTGTTCAATACGATCAACATGCCTGAAATGTCCGGCATAATCCATGTATTTAAAGTATCTGACAAACCCTACGAACCCGACGTACCCGACGTACCCGAAGTACTGAGTGAATTAATAACTAAACACTGCAGATCAATCACAGTCTTCATTTCTATCCAAGCTAATAAATGAACACATTAACTAGTACGGTACATGCCTACAATACCCTTGTATTGTATTATCAATATATTTAGGGTACCAAAAATGGCTGGCTATTCAAGGTGCCTAAAATACACGCCCGACCCACTCGACACATCTGTTCGGTATATTCAATGCCTGAATGCAAATGGTAATTCTCAATGACGTTCCTGTCGTTTAATTAATCAACGAGCTTTCTCTATTTTTTCCATACTCCAGTCAATACACTGACGACACCGGTAAATCTCACCGCCGTACACGCGTTTTCTCTAATCTTAAATCCTACTTGCTCACCAATGTCCGAAATATCCGCCTGTTTCATGACGGAATCAATCATATCTGAATTTATTGCGATCAATTAGTCGGTTGCCCCCGGTCGCTCGTTCGTTAAACCACTTATCGGTCATACTCGAAGGATCACGGGCGCCGCGCACTCCGTGAAGGATGCTCATCGAGCTCGTGAAAGATTTACCCTGACCCACTTCCGGTCAAGTTCATTGCTCATCCACGGCACGTCGGCCTTAGCGCGTGCCGTCTCCCCCCGTTCATCGCGGTTCTCTTTCTCTCTGTGTACTCCAGAGATCACACCTGCATGTACAGGGTGTCCCAAGAAGATGGGAAAATTTTATATGGATGTTCCTCGTAAAAATATGAATCGAAAAGTCCTTTACCGTTTTGTAATCTGACGCACCGATTCCGAGATATCAGCAGTTAAACGAACTCCAATCAGCTGAGCGATGGACCACACGTACGCAGGACCGCTCCTAGCGGGGGTGCAAGAGGTGCCCCTTGGAGGACCAAACCCAGGGGCGGCTGCAGACCGTTTATTATATGTAAGATTTTTCACTAATTACGATAATAATGTAAACTTTCTTTATGATTATTAAAATTTTAGACAAAACAAAATTCAATCGAATTAATTTTATATATAATCTTTCTAACACTACTGGTATACAAGAATGAACTGTCTTTGTATACAGCTCACAATACTATATGATATTTAGACATGTCCACATGGTATGTAGAATTAAATAAACTGCGATTCCCACTGTTACTGTTAATATTTATACAGTAAAAGGAACGGGAAGGGACCAGGCAAGTTACGATCGAAATTACATAAAACACGTATACTTTCGTGAATGTACGTATTCATAAATTCAAAGTTACGATGTAGTTCGGATTATAATATACTTTGACGAAGCCAATTATGTTGCTAATTCGAACGACTCCCGTTTCAATTAAGCAAACATAATTATTTATTATTAGTTTTTGTAATTATTAATATCAACGATAAACTGAACAATCATGATTATCACGAAGATTAATTGAATCACGGGGCCAAAAAAAAGGACAAGTAGCATTCTCATCGAGGTGTTATAACGGCCGCGCGTTGGAAACACGCCATAATTAGTCTAATTACACGCGGCTGTTCGTTCTCGCGTTTCAATTTACGGAAATTATCCCAGGTGGGACTTAAATTTGCGGTAATCTTCATTCAACAACAATCACAGTGACGCCAGTCACGCTAGCTGACGAGCATAATCCCACGGGGACAATAATGTAATTGCACGGGGGGAGTTTCTATGTATCCTAGTGCACTGGCATTAATATCCCTATTACCTAGTAAATATTCCGCGACCGTTTAGTGTGCGTGACATAAGCCTCTTGACACAGTGTCAGTTTTATGATGTCGGTGTTATGATTATTCTGTTTGTATAAACAAAATATTGGGACATTCCACGCAAAATCGGACACTTTTTGGAGCACCATGATATGTTGTAGTCTTTAGCGATATATAAATGTTTATTGAAAGACCAAACTTTCTTTATACTGTGGTGAATTTTTATTTCTTTGGGCCAATGAAACGTAGATTGTTTAACTGAATTTATTTTGAAAAATGGAATTAGAACAATTTAGAACTCGAGTAACGAATTGAAGAGTACTCGCAGAAAACACTATAACTTTGCGAAAAATCAAAATTTCCAGAAGGAAAAAAGTAACCTGACCGTAAATTATTTACGAAAATTGATTTGTTTGTAAATGTGACCAAGAATAAAATAGTCCAAATGCGTGGAAAAAATTTCGATTTTGTAGAACATTTTTCGATTAAAAAAGAAAAGAAAAAATCTTCAATTTTGGCGCTTACGAGTGTTTTCTACACGAAATCTTCGATTGTTACGAGACGACAGAGGTCAAAGGGTTCACTTTGCAGTGAACTGATCGGTACAGAACCGTTTTCGGGCGTGGTTGATCGTCCGAGACGTCGCGAAACAATTTAGAAAATCGTGATTACGAGGTCGGATGACATCGTGGAAAGGAATGGGCACCGATTTGTCGCGACTGGTCGCACGATCCGGATCCCGACATGGAATCTCGTACAAACTGGACCGACTGGCTTTTCGAGCTGCCATTCGTTTACTTTCCAGCGTCGCGACCGAATGAAAATTATGTATCTCAGACCGGACTGGGTCACGTCCAGAAAAAAGAGAAAAAAGAAAAAAAAATCACCTGCTCCAGGTTTTGGTGTCCAAACACGAAATATTTCTTACTGCTGTGAAAGTTTCCTTTCGGTGGCCGAATCGACTCGTTCTGTCGAAGAAACGAAAAAATATAATTCGACAAAGTTTGAAGTATTAAAATATATATAAAAAGAAATAACGTACACGAATCACTGCACAGATAGCACATGACGCCCAAAGACGGCTTAAAGTCGCCTTAATTTTATCGTTAGTTTCCAGTAATTTATTCATTTGCGAAAATTTACCAAAGATTAGTGTATTCTTCAGATTATTTTAATTGATCCGTTTCAGCGACACGACCGGCTCCAATGCTTTCTCGATGAGACCCAAATCCCGAGAAGCCGATCTCTCGACCTCGACTTTCACCCTCGCGCAAGGTCTAGGACACGCTCAGCTGAGGCGGATCTTCGATTCTGTGAATGAAAAATTCCTCTGCGACATCGGAGGAACTCGTGTTGCACGATCGTTAAATGGAATCGAAAAGAAAAAAAAAAAGGGAACGCCCAGAAAAAAGTGACGTGAATGAAAATTGAAGATTAAGCTGTAGTTCCTTCGAATATGTACTTTCGTGACTGTACACCTTCTAGAACCACCGAACAGTACTAAACCCGAAAGATCGATTCGATATCTATAAAAGACGAAAGGTCAGGCACAGTAGTTCTGTCTTGAGATTTTCTGCTTTCGAGAATGGTCTAGTTTCTCGATGGAAAATCCTCGAACATTATTGGAAACCGTCGATTATTATTAGACCGACGTCAGAGTTGCAGTAAAGCTGCGTCTACACTATGAAGGAAAATAGCATTACATAACAAATTGTTACATAAAGTTGGTACAAAGCATATTTTCATAACTTGTTACAAGATTATACCTTGTGGACGAGTATATAACAAGTTTGTATAACATTTCGCATCTAATTATTTAATAATGACGTCACACTTGATGGATAACATATAACTTGTTATATAATACGAAAAATGTTAAATATAACATTTTTCTTTCTATTTTTCTAACAAGTTTTATAACTTCGCTGTATAACGTGTTATGCTATATAGTGCAGACGCAGCTTAAGAAGTTCGAAACAAAGGAAATTGCGTTACCGTGCCCGCCACGCGTGCGTCATACGTGCCCTGAAAAGATTGTTGGGAAGGTGGAGAAAAATGAAAAAAAAAAAAAAAAACAGATATGTGAGTCAGCATCCCGTGAGTCCTGAACTCCGGTATTGGTTTCACTTTCACCGATTCAGCACAGGCAACATTCTTCGGCGTCGACCCGCTGCTAGAGGTGTTCCTCTCGCCGTGGCCTGCCTCCTCCTTTACGTCGATTCCAGAGAGCCAGGTTTTAGGTATCGAGGTCACTGAAAGGATGTGAACGGACGCCTGACGTTGCGAATGAATCTTAGACGTAAAATACGAAAAAAATATATTAAAAAAAAACCAAATTAGTTAAGATAGCTCCTGCAAATTTTTAATAATTATAAATTTAGTTGAAAACTTAACAGAATCTATATATATTTAATGTTTATAACATATATCAGAATTTCTGGTGGAAGATGGATGTTCTACGGGCTTTGGACAGTAAAGGGGCGGCCATCTTGGAAGGAATCACCGAACCCCCGGTACACCGTTTGGATATTAAAAGCTTTCTTTATTAATTAATTTCATCCTTTCTTTGTTTTTATATTATTAATATAATAACGATTCGTATCACCCTTTTGTCGTAAGTACAATTTTTCGTCGGTGAATTGCCGACCAAGTCTCGGAGCTCGATCTAAAGAAAAATCAAATAACATTCAATAGTCGTGATCGTTCGGCGGTTTTCCTTTCCTTTTCCGCTTCGTGCAATATAATATAATCCGCCGATCGGATCGCGATTGGCGTTCGTTTTCGATCTATCTAAATCCTTAAGTTTAAACCGTTTCGTTCCCCCGTAACGGATCAGGAAGTAAACAGACGTGTGCGGAGCGCGTTGGCCCATCGATCAGTCGACTCTGGATCAGTCATCCTTCGATCATCGAAATTCCGATCTTTTCACTTCGAAAGGAAATTATTTCCTTCGATTCTCAGGTATTCGATGATTCTACAGAAGCTTCTTATTTATTTATTATTTATTTACAAAGGACCTGAAGCTTTGTGGAGAAGAGTCGTTAGAGATTTCTCGACAGAAAAGAAATCGAATAAAAAGGTCAAAAAATAGATGGTTCAAACTTTATTTTTCTTTTCATTTAAACAAATTTTGATGAATATTCACGGAAATTGTAGAACATTGAATTTCGACAATTTTTCACTAGTGCACAAGTGAGGCAATACAGTAAATCATAGATGTATGTTCGAAGGCTACTTGCACTGACAAGGAAAGGTTCCCAGCTTTGACTTTTTAAGAAGGTTTAGCACAGTGATAGAGCTTGGAATTCTGAAGCCAATGATATTTGTTTCAGCCGTGTATGACCATTACTTTATGAAATATTTAATGTTCAGTGCCGTGGAGTCTCCAGACAATGATCGATGATTTACTGTACGATTTGCCACTAGCGTATATTCCGCATTATAGGGGGTCCTACTTGTATATAACACACTTGCAGTGGGTCGAAGAATATACTGATCCAGACGACCGACTGGTAACAACCCGGAAAAATAGATGTGTCGTAATCTCCGTAGAAATCGAACTCGTCCTCTATCTGCTTATCACCGAAATTCCCAATTTCGTACTTCTGCTCTCGCTTTCGACTTAACGACTAAAATAGTTTCAATGGAACGATTCATATAACACGAAGAAACTGGAGCATGCAAACTCGAAGGTGCGTGTGTGTATATGAGGTTAA